CCATCTATGTGAAGATAAGTCAAAGGTCCTGCTCGACCATTGTTGGCTTCTCTTGGAAGCATGGAGGAAATGTAATCGTTTTTTACTCTTTAAAGGCAAGATGGGAAGTATGAGAATACTCATACATGACTTTAGGGAAAATCTGTCTATAATTTTATTTTGTAGAGCACTGAATAGAAACTTTTATTAAAACCTTTACTTTTGCTTATAATACTAGATGATTTTTTCTTATTCAACTATATATATATTACATTTAAATAGTTTTTATATATAATCCCAGACTTTAAAAAGAAACTCACCCTCCAAGTTATTGTGCAGTTTTTTATCAAGTAACTCAGCCCTTTTCCAAAATATAGCATTTTTAGTTTCTAAATTCTTTACAAACAGGAAAAAAGTGGATTTTTTGTTCTGTTTGTTTTTTTCCTTTAATGTTCCCAAATTCATCTGTAGGTCTGAACAAGATTTTGAGAAAGTCATTCATCATAACTCACTTTGCTCAAGTTAAAGTAAAATAAAAAGGCTTCCTGAAATGTAAACTTCTGATCAAGAATCAAATTAGCAACAGCAAACAGACCATAAATCACAAATGTAATTTAATATAAGTACGTTTTTAAAATCAATCCCTGTTATAAAAGACAAATTCAGAGTCTAAAACTCCTTCCCAGGTTCAGTGGTTTGCAAGGATCCTGATTCAAATGTGATTATATATAAACTTTTTAACAGAAATGTTTCCTGTTGAATTTTGACTGACTTATTATTTTCTTTTTGGTCTTAAGGTCTTTCACTTGAACAAACATAGAAAGGCCATCTTTTAGTGTTTTGAAAAGTATACTTTTCTCATTAATCATTTAAATAATTACAGTTGCTGGTTTTAGTTCAAAGGAGCAATTTAGCCTTCCTTCAAATCTGTTACTATATTGTGGGTATGTATATGTTGTTTTGCTTTTATTTTAGGCACTGTAATTATTTATAATATTACAGTCTAACCTAGGTAGCAATTATGATCTTAAAATAATAAGATTTGACATCATATGATTATATTACAACTGACTTTTGCACTTTAAGATAGTTGGATGTGAATTTTAAAGCCCTGAGGCATATCTGCCTTGAGTAGTGTTAACCCATATTTTTGTCATGTTTACTACTTAAGCTTCTGAAGACAGCAAACACTGGAGGCTGTAAAGTTTTCCATTCTACCTGCTCCGACTTCAATTTACTTAATCAACATTAAATAGTTTTTCTTTATGAAAACAAGCACATCTTGAGGGGAGAGAGACTACCCACTGCTGCATTCCTAGGAATCCACCCCGGTCCCCTAAGAGCTGAGGCTAGCCTGTGCATGGGCAAGCTGGGCCAGATAGGAGATGGTGGGTTCCTCCTCAGCAGGACCACGCTGTAACCGCCCACCTGCAGCCCAGGCATGGCTGCCCCGTGCTGGGTGCGGGGGGCTCCGAATCCTCGGGTCCTCAGGTCCTCAGTGCCACAGTCTGCTGCTGGCAGAGATTTGTAGAGAGGAATAGAGAGGAGTGGGGCATGCTCAGTAGGGTGACTGTCAGCATCTCCACAGAGAAATAGAAAGCAGTGGTAGGCTTTGGGGAGGGGGGGAGTTGGTGGACAAAGGACAGAACGAACAGAGGATGGAGTTTACTGGAGCTGCCAATATAATCCCAGACAAGGGAGCAGCACCGCTCACATAGCATAGGCAGTGAAGACAGAGGAACTCTTCTCTCTGCAAGAAGCGAGTACCCTAGGTCCGCTTCTGGTCACCACTGAGCCAAAGTGAGCTTGGAGACAGTCCAGCTCTCCTGTCCTTGAGACAGATAACAAAAAGACAAGACAGGACAACACCAACGGGCCTAGTCCTTAAGCATATTATTTTAGACCCAGGGAAGCGTTCAATCCCTCACACAATTCAGTGGGCCATGCATCCAAACAAAACCAAATCCGAATTTCTCATGAGACAGAACAAGAAAACTGAATTAGGGTCCTCAGCCACTGGCGACCCAATATATTGTTAGAAAACAAAGGGACAGTTTCTTGCTGTCATCCTTCTGTCTCTGTAAAATATTTTGAGCATCTGCCTCTGAAGGAGCAGGCGCCTGTAAGGTTGAGTAGCCAGAGTTAAAAGATTACACAGAGATGAAACGTTCAAAGGGACAATTTCTCCCTTTCTGTGCACTTGTTTAAATGCTCCCAGCACATCTTTCCATTAGTGTGTGTGCAGCGTGCCTTAAGGAGGCTGCCAGTGACCATATTTATCCAAGTATTCAGAAAGTTCCTAAAAACCCTTCCTTTTCATTTAACTTTTGCTGCTTTAAGCATTGTGTGGAACAAGTGTGTGCAGTCCTCCTGTTTACTCTTTTAGCTTGTCCCATGGTTGCCTTGGTGTCCTGGAGTGACTCCTTGTGCACTTTCCAGACGTCATATCTCTCCACCCATCCTTGGTAGTTTCCCTATGCTTGGGCTGCATCCTCTTGGGGTGCACATGTAGGTGCTGCGGAACTGAAGTTCAGACCAGGGGACTTCAGGCTTTGCTGCTCAGAAGCATTTCACTGCCCGTTTGAAAAGCTTTTATTTAGGAAGTGTTGGAAGTTCACACAGAGTTTACATATGGTACCTGCTCAAGGAGCAAAACACATATGGAAATTTTTTCCTATCACTATGGTAAGAAAGCAGCACAGTGTGCCAAGGCCATGGTGACTGGCCCAGTAACAGACCTCCTTAGATGCATGTACAAACCGAGTGAGGGATGTGGCAGCCTGTTCCCAGCATTCCAGAAACCAGGTGCTTTATTAATCTTCTCCTCAGCACCCCAGAAGCAGACACTCCCCCACCCCAAGCCTCTGCATCAGCAAAGTCAAAAGAAGTCTGTTAACGCTTAGTGAGCAGAGCACTGTTGTTCTTAAGGGACAAGGGAAGTGGTTACATTTCTCCTTGGTCATATACTGAGACCTTAGGTGGTTCCTGAGGAGTTTCTTTTCTTTTATGCAGATCAGAGGGGCGCCCGTGTGGAAGTGTGGAGAGGAGCATACCAGGAGGCCTTGAGTTCCCTACTAAGATCTAGGCCAGGTAAAGAAGGGCAACCTTTCTTCTTGGTCATATACTGAGACCTTGGGTGGATCCTGAGGGATTTCCTTCCCTTTCTACAGAGCACAGCAATTCCAATTTGGAAGTATGGAAAGGAACATGCCAGGATACTATGAACTCCCCACCAAGATCTAGGCCAGGTAAGGAAGGGCAGTCTGTCCCATTCTGATCTGCAATGTGGACTGGCCAAGTAGGCAGGGAATACTGCAAGGTTCACTCTGAGCACACTCAGCTAATCGTCAGACACCACCTCTGCATTTACCATGGCCTCTTCTGGAAACATGAGGAGGAATTCTTGTGACTCCTTTTGGACCAGCCTGGGTCTTACTGGTAGACTATGTGGGTTTCTACCTCCTGTTTAAATAGTGAGGGCTGAGGAAAGACAGCACCTTTCTCTTTTCACTCTGCAAAATCACTGTGTGACGCTGATCCCTGTGTGCCCTCTATTTTCTCTGAACTTCCTGGATTTACTTAAGCACCCTGAGGTGTTACTGGGCCTGTCTTCATGGATGGTTGTGTCCTTGTTTCTCTTCAGTGCCCTGTGGTCCTGAAAATTTCCAAGTGAGTGATGAAGAACAGGAAGAAGGGCCCAGCGAACCTCAGTGCAATGGAGGAGGTAAGCATGCTTTCGACGGCCAGTCCCCTCATGCAGCTTTGCCTGCAGGAAAGTCTGCCTTTCTCCCTGCAGCCCTGCTCCTTCTACATACTAGACAGAAGACATCATAGAGCCAGTGGCAAGGGTCTGAGATAAGAGGGAGTGAGATGCCGAGGGAGGGAACCAGGTGGGTTCCTGTCCTCTGCCTCTGGTGAGGGCAAAGGAGCCATGTCAGCCTCTACCCAGCAGATGCCGAGGGAGGGAACCAGGTGGGTTGCCTGTCCTCTGCCTCTGGTAAGGGCAAAGGAGCCATGTCAGCCTCTACCCAGGGTCCCAGAGCAGGGACACTCACCTCAGGAGCCACGGAGCCCCCTGGACCTTCCTGCTTCTTTCAGGATGGGCTTTCCTGCTGTGGTTTCCCTTGGCCATGCACTGTGTCCTCTAAGGGCTTTTGTTTTTTCTGCAGAAGGCAGCAGTCCCTGCTCACCAGCGATTAATGGACAAGAGCCCCAAGATGCCTTGCGTGCATCACCAAGACCTGGAGTAGGTGAGAGAGGGAAGGACTGTGTGGGCTTCAGGGAATCTGAAGGCAGAATTCAGACCTGGTGTTTCCTGCTGTGCTTAGTAGGCACATACATCAGGATAAAAGCATGCTTAGTGCTCAGATACTGTTCTTCACATGTCCGTGGTCTTTTGGGAAATTCAGAGAGGTCTTGAGAAACCTCACGATGATGGAGTGTTGTTTTGTGTTAGGTGCTCACACATTCACTTGGGGAGGAATGTGCTGGGATGGGAGAATGCTCTTTGTCTTTCAAACCTGGCAACAAAATAATCAGCTTTTTAAAATGGTTTTTTGTTTGTTTTGGGTTTTTTTTGGAACAGGGTCTCACCATGTAGCCCTCATTGGCCTGAAACTCACTGTGTAGAACAGGTTAGCCTTGAACTCACAGAGGTCTGCCTGCCTCTGCTCTGCGATGGGAAGAATGCTCTTTGCCTTTGTCTTTTCATACCTGGTGATGACTTTATTTGAATCCATGGGACGATTTTGATCTCACTCACTCCTTATTCTCTATGGAACTCAAACAGCAAAGCAGTCCTGTGCAGACGGATCGTTTTCTTATTTTTTCACAATCTTGTCACAGTGCTCAAAGAGAAAGCATTGTGTCATCTAACTAACTGGTGTCATTCAGAAGAACCTACACGAAACCAAAAGCTATTCTGACCAATATACTTCATGTCACTGGTCATACAGTATCTTTTCAGAATTCATTGATAAGCAGCCATCCTTTTATCCTCAGAACAAAGGCTTAGGCAGGAGAATTGTTACAGTTTCAAGGAACAAGAAACAGACGTGAAGAAGACACAGGTATGCTATGGAGCTTGACAGGGACAAGTAGAGCAGAGGTCAGGCTCCGGGATAGCTCCACATGGTCTCTGGGCTCTGTGAGGCTGGCATGGGGTGGAGTGGTGTCCCATGGTCTGACCCTAACGTGGAAGTCCAAGGGGCTTAGGGTGCTCAGGGGAGCCTGCAAGGGTTCGATGGAAAGAGGAATTAGAAAATATGTGAATGTAATCTACCACATGAGGTAGGAGATTCCCAGAAGAATCGAGCTAGAGGAGGTGACCACAGAAGCAATGTGAAGTGTGGGGCGCACTGAAGGAGAAGACAGATGATGAATTAACAGTAAACGTCAGGGAGAGAAAGTTCAGAGAGAGAGAGAGCGAGAGAGAGAGAGAGCGAGAGAGAGAGTGAGCAAGAGAGAGCGAGAGAGAGAGCGAGAGCGAGAGAGAGAGCGAGAGAGAGAGAGAGAGAGAGAGAGAAGCGCACAGACCTTCCCAGGGTAGCAGCGAAAGGTGTGTGATGTGAGGAGGGGCAGCCAACGCTTGGTATCAACCAAGTGATTACAACTATAGACAGGTGTGCTTGTGAGTCCCGTTTCTCTGAACACGTATTGTAGAATGTCAGTGCAATGTCGAGCTCAGCCATTCGTGAATCTTTACAAGCATATCTGAGGGGACTAGTTGATTTCTAGCAAGACTTCTCAGTAACCTGAGTATGACTGAAAGAAGGCACTGAAAGCAACATCCTAGTTCCTCTTCTTTGAGTAGGAGTTACAGATTGATGGTGTAAGCACATTATGCCTGTGGGGGAGCAGGGGATAGAAAAAAAGAAATTACGATGGTGAGTACTTTATTCAAACAGTTGACTGTTTTCAATTAGTAATACAGTTGTTCTCTGTGAATTATTGTCATGATTGAAGGTGATTCCAGGGCAAAACTGGCTAATACAGTCAGTTGTCAATGCTTTGAGGCAACTACATAAGCTGTGGTCATTAGTAACAGGCCCTTGATGTCCATTATGTTTTTGAGCCAATATCCCTACAACATGGCTTTTTTTTTTTAATGTTCAAATAAAACTAAACAATTGTTATACTATAAGGGAAATTCAGAAAAATATATATATATATATGTCTTTTTAAGACAGGGTCTCCAACTGGCCTTAAATTCCCTGTGTAGACCAGAATGACATGGATCTCACAGAAATCCGCCTGCCCCTGCTTAGATTTAAGGTGTGTGCCACCACATCGAGCTTTTGTTTCGGTTTTTTGAGATACGGTCTTACTATATAATCCTGGCTCACCTGGAACTTCTTGCTGTGTAGACTACATTGGCCTTGAACTCACAGAAATCTGCCTGCCTCTGACTCTGAGTGCTGGGATTAAAGGCATGTGCTAGCACACAAAGAAAGAGAGAGAGAGAGAGAGAGAGAGAGAGAGAGAGAGAGAGAAAAGAAGAAAGAAAGAAAGAAAGAAAGAAAGAAAGA